CTTCACTTTTAGGTCAATATTCCTTAACAACACTGTCTTTAAACAGAAAAACCGCGTTTTTGTCCCTAACGTTTTCCTTCGCTTACTTCCAGGCTTATCTGAGCTACACGAATCCAGACGCATTTTTCCTGAACCTTCAACGGGTGCAAATCTCTTACTGTGATATCACCAGTGCTGTGGTGAAGAGCCTGTTAACAAATGCACCGTTTTTGCGAAGTATGACTATTGGGAGCAACGTTGAGATGACTGATGGTGATATGTTTAGGTAAGTTACAAGGGAAGGTTTGGGGATGAATTTCAGTTTTCTTGGAAACTTGACAATTTGCTCAGAATAGTCGTTCAGAGATTATTTCATCACACGGAGCCGCGCTTTACTATTGCGTCGGTTAAATACAGATGTACATAATTCAGCAGGTCAACTTTGAGCAAATTGGCTGTGAATTCAGATGGCAGAAATCTTGGATAACTTACCTAAACTCCACCGATGTGGCAAACATATCCGAGCCTCTGAAGAGGGTTTAAAGCGGTAAATATCTGCAAAAAAACAGGACATTCGAAAAGAGTTTTTGTCATAAACCTGCGTTTCATCGCGTAATTTACTTAATTAAACAGACGCTCACAAACGAAAATGCACATTTTTAAACAGTTATAAAGTAAGTGAAGACAATTTATACAGGGCGGCCCACCTTATTGCAGACTTTATTTTATGAAGAAACGCATACGAATTTTGCATCCAACTTTTGTTCACTATCGAAAAAATAAAAACGAGCGTTTTATCAAAGCATTCAAAGAAAATCCGCACCCTTCATGATATAAAGTAAAAAATATGAAACTGTATGTCAAAATTTTAAAAATTGTGCTGAGATAAATCACATTATTACAAGAAACTATTACTATTTAATAAAACTCAAAAACTGATCACAAAAGAGTGAACAATGCAAATAAAGCAAATAACCAGAAAAAAAATTAAATTAGAAATTCTCTAACATTAAATTAGAAACACTCTAATGGGCGTTTGATTTCATTTTTACAGATAGTCTATCAACTTGAAACTAATGGCTTTATCGGGTT